GGGGGGGGAGATGATGTGGAGCTTCTTCCACTTGAAGAAAAGGGTGAGACGAGTCGGTGGTCTTAAAGAGGCGGGCGGGCAGGCAAGCTGATGCGGAAATTTGGCAGGACGCGCTCGAGGACGTGAGGGGAACCTTCCTTGCTGTAGTCCAGCTGACCCGCAGCAGATCGCCAACAGCATCATCCTCGAAGACGGCACCAAGATTGAGATCCTGACTCAGGTCGGCTGCTGTCAAGCAAGATGACCAGCTGACGAGGAGCTGCAGGTCCAGCAGCTCGGGGACAAGTTCACCAGCTTCTTCCCGATGATCGACGTGAGGATGCGACCCCTTGCGCTTGCCATGACGACCGGGCGCAGGCGACGGAGGCCGAGATAAAGAGAGAGGAGCAGGAGAAAGAGGAGCAGGACAAGCGAGCTAAGGACGCGGAGAACTCTCGGCTACGTAGCATGCTGGAGAGCCTACAAGCGCAGGCAACGGCGGTGAGGGCAGGGAGGAGGTGGTAGAGAGAAGCTGAACCAGAGCAGGAGGGATACTCGAGCGACGAGGCGGTGAAGACTTCGGAGCCCAGGAAGCTCACGAGGAAGACGACCAAGTCAAGGCAATCAAGGTAGAGGAAGGGAGTAGAGTGGATGGAAGAGAGGAGTGAGTGTAGAGAGAGGAGGAGAGAGGGAGGAGAGGAGTCAGGGTTTAGGAAAGGAGGAAGAGAAAGGGAGTCAGGGTGGAGGCTGACAGGATGAGCAGGAGGACGGGAGTTTTCTTTGAGCTCTCCGACGAGCTCAAGGAGCAGCCTATGCTCCTCCTCCGCCCCGAGCGACTGCAGTCGACAGACTCGGTTGAGGGATGGGAGGAAGGCAACTGACGACGAGGGAGCAGAGGAGGAGAGTGGGGGCGAGGGAGGGAGGGAGAAGGTGGCCAGAGCTGAGGAGTGAATCATTCAACGTGTATCGAGGTGTATGAAGTTAGATTGATCTTGTCTTCTCCCCCCTGTCAGCACATGGAATGATCCGCGCTCTCACGCTTTCCCTCGGAGTCATCGGAATGAGACTTTTCGCTCAGCGTCCCGGCGTTTCTCTTCATGGCTCGTAGGATCTTGTTGATGTCGTTGAACTCCTGCTTGTCTCCGTTCTTCGCCTTCCCGTTGCCGACCTCAAGATCGTCCTCGGAGCCCGAGTCGTCCTTCTTCTTTCCCTTGCCCGACTTCTTCTTCTTTCCCTTGTTCTTCTTCTCACTCTCCGATTCGCTGCTGTGATGATCGTCGTCGTCGGCGCCTCCTCGATGCTTCCTCCTGTAGTCCCGCGCGTCTCCTTTCTTCTTCCTCTTCGGCCTCGAGTCATCCGACTCCTCGTCGCTCAACCTGATCCTGTCCTCTAGATGCGCCGGCGCCAGCTCCCACTTCTGCCTCCTCTTTGACTTCCTCACCGAGCCGATGACGCGTCCGAACATCCGGATGTTGACTTCATCGTTGGGGGGAGCATTCTTCTCATGGTTCAGCCCAAACGGATCGTCGGCCTCCGGCTTCTCCTGTCCTGGAAGGCATGCAGGGTCCCACTTCCCTTCCAACACGCCCCATGCCGTGCTCCACAGGATCACTCCGTAGGTGTTCTTGCAGAGCCCGTCGGCGAGGAGGTACAGGATAGCGCTCACGTTCTCATGAATGACGCAGACGCCAGTGGGGGATATCAGCCATACGATGGGGAACATGGTCCATGCGATGAAGAAGATGAGTCTGAGCATCTTGATTCTCACCACCACCTTCTGAGCCAGCGGAGTCCCCACGCTCTCAAACCCGTACAGCCCGACTTGAAAGATGGTGAAGACAACTGAGTACTCAAAGACCAGGCACGTGGCCCCGAAGAAGAAAAAGAGCCACTTCATGTACTCGGCGGGAGAGATAGTCGCCGTGATTCCCATCACCACTCGGATGATGGAGGCTGCTTGCGCGATGGGATTCAACGGGATGCTCTTGTACTTCACCAGCGCCATGTTGCTGATCTGCCCGAGCATGATAGGGCAAGTGCACAACCAGGATGCCATGCGCGACCAAGGAAAGAAGCGCCCGTCCCTCATCTGCAACGTGCCGTTTCCAGTAGAAGCGAGGGCATAGGTGATGCTTTCAACGAAGGGAAGGTAAACAGATTCCCATGGCACCTTCGGGGCTCGAGAGATCATAAAGATCGTCTGGCATCCGCTGACAACAGCCTGTCAACAACCGTCATGCTCAAGGTCAAGCTCAAACATCTTTCAGTACCCAGACCAGCTGCAGCAATGAGACAAAGGTGCTGTCGATCCTTGACATGTTGTAACATTCTGTATGCGTACTCGCCCATTCTCCATAAACGACTTGGCTTGCCATGGTGATACTGGTGCAAACGATCAGAAACGGTAATGAGGATCAGAAATTGGAGCAGAAACGAGGAAGGGGCATTCAAGTGAGCTGACAAGAGTTTCAAAACGAAATGATTGCAACTGCAAATGAAACCTCCTGGTGTATCACTTGTTGTAACACTTATAGAGTGCCAACGTGAAACAAAACAACATCTCAAGAGCAGGAGTTTGCAAAATAACGATCTACGCAGACAGATTGATAACTTGGTTATATGCACAAGATCGTATGAGGAGGGAGGCTAATCAAAGGCATGTGCATCAACCTTATGCCTTACATGAGACATGAAGGCAGGGACGAAGAATTCGCAGACACATGCGTTAGTGGTACAGAGAGGAAGCTACGCTGGTAACATCGGAAACGATAGCAAGGCAAGGAAGGGGAAGAAGCAGAGAAAGCAAGGAGGCAAGCGAGGCAACGGAGGCAGTATGACGCATCAAGGTATCATCGTCAGAGAGCTTGCTAAGCGGTGAGGACATTGTTTGCAAGAAGCTCGAACGGCAAAGTGCACATTGCAGACGGAGGAAGGCAAGAAGGTCCGGCACTATGGGAGTGTCCCGGGGTGGGTGGGTACTCCCAGTCCGTATCAGTGTGGGTGGTACCCCACCCCTATTCTGGGATGGCCCCTTTTCTGTATCCGTAGTACCCACCCCTTCTGCTATATTCTCACCCATATTAAAGAACCTCATACTGGTAGGGGTAGGGCAACCCATCAGTGTCGACCCCCACCCACTCTCAGCCGATCCCACCGTCACTGACCGTCCGACGGTGGTGCCTCCACCACCCCTACCTCCCTGAACGGTGACAGACGACGGTGACCCAAAGATCCTACCACCGTCCTTCAAGCCCTACCCCAGGACTATCCCACAAGTACCCCCGGCCTATCCCCGTACGGTACAGTGGTTACCCCTGGTATGCCCCCTTTGTCCTACGGCATCATATTACTGCATTACGGTACGGTACTAGCTGGTAGTCAAGTTTTGCCCTCGACCACCCACCCCCACTAGTTGGTAATCTGAGACACAAAAACTTGAACATCTCAGAGTCTGGAGTACCCACCCCCCCTGCCCCCAGTGGCTACCAGCCCGTGATGAGCCACAGTGACTAGGGAGGGGTTGTCGCAGTTTTGACTCGCACGGCAACACATTGAAGTACCCGGTAGTATGCCGCAGAGCAGGGAGGGGGTGGCCCAGACTCTCAGGGGGGTGATCACTACCCCGGCCTAAACCCGCACCCCCCCTTCTCCCCACCCGCACCCCCCAACCCTATGCACAGTGGGGCACTGTCAGATGACTATCAATGTTTTATCAGCCGGCATTATTGGCGGCTCTCCCCCAATTCTGATAGTAGAAGTTACCGGTACTAAAGTGGCATTGAGTAAACTGACTCCCTCGGCACTGCGCCAGAGGCTACAGTACTACGGTAAGTACGGGTCCGGTACAAGGGCAAAGTACCGGTCACCGAGGCCCGCTGGCTGTCGTTCCGCGGCAGGCTCCCATGCTCCCCCGGACCGGCAGAGGCCAGTACGTACTCAGACTCGGAGTAAAAAAGTAGTAAATCTTTGAAAAGTTGCATAATCGCATCGTTTCGGTACCCTTGCCCGGGCCTCGGAGCCCGGCCCGGAGTCCCCCACGGGCCACACCAGGCCATCATGGCCCGCGGCGGGCTCTGACACGCAGTTCAGGAGCCGCGCCGCGGGCGGCGGCCGCGGGCGGCCGGGCCGGGCGGCGCCGGGCGTAGAGTCACTGCCCAATTGCCAAGATACTCACCGTCACCGTGGCACTGTCCGAGTGACTGAAGCTAGTTTAGTATACGGCACGGACTCCGAGGCCCAGTCCGAGTCGGCCATCAGTGATAGCCATAGAGCTTGCCAGCCTGAGATTGGGCCATCATGCCACGGCCCGGCCACCTCTCCGGCCCGGCCGCGCGGCGGCCATGATCCGGCGATCATTGATACAGGCCGCTACTACGGCTGAGCCGATCCGGAGGCTGGCTCTTGAAGCCAAGTCGGGCCGACTCCCCGGTCCCGGAGCCTCGGAGTGACTCTGCCACTGTGACTCGGACGGTCCGAGCCTGAGGCTGAGGAGCCTGACGTGACAGATCATCCGCAGGTACCGAGTTCGGCCCGGGCCAACACTGACAGTGGTGAATCAGCGGCCCATATCATGCAGCCGCCGGCAGAGCAGTGCTGTCACCCCGCCGGTCACAGTCGTGGCAGCTGGGTCGCCAGAGACCAGTCACTGAATGGTGCCTACTTCAATTCACAGTTGCCATTTATCATCTTAGGGTTCACAGATAGAGAAACATGCAAAATCTACACGTACGCAGCCTCACAGACTTGTAAGTTAACATGGAAAATTAGACGCTATTTACACTAGAAGATCAACAAGTTCAGATAGTAGCAGTCTTTCCTCATGTTGAGCAGACAGCAAGATGGCATGCGGCTGCTGCCTCAGCATCAGCTTCCTCCAAGGCTTTTCGCGCTCTCTCAGCCATGGCGAGAGCATGTTTCTCTGCCTTGGCCGCCTGCTCTTCGGCCTCCCTCAGCTGCTTTGCTGCTTTCACTCGAGCTTGCTGCTGCGGCGAAAGCGCAAGGAAGGGGCTGGCAGTATGGTAGAGCTTGAGACACTCTTCCTCGTCTTCTGCCAAGGCGATGAACATTGCAGACTTTCCTTGAAGGTACAGCAGAGGGAAGACACCATACTTAGACTGTCCAGGGACAAACGCACATCCTGCCTCCTGGAGTTGTTTGTAGAACTGTCCAACCTGGGCAAAGAAGTCAGACTGGAAATTGTTGTTGCAAAAAGGTAACAGGTGCTTACATGAAGCTCCTCTGGAGTTGTGCACTTCCAGCAGTAAAAGTGTGCATCGGGGGAGTACATCGAACGGAAGAGTTTGGGAGTATGGCAGCCGTTGAACCTCCCGGTGTTGAGGTCCGAGAGATATGGCACGCCTTTCACCGACAAGAAATCCACTCCTCCTGGTCCCTTGGGCATCGAACCCTTGATGAAAGCCCTGAGGCATCGCCTTGCCTCGTCTTGGAAGGAAGGCTCGACCTTTGACTGCCTCCATCCCATGTAAGTGGTTCCCTTCATAATCTAAAAAAACCGTCAACCTAGAAACACTTCATCCAAGAGATGACAAACCTGATCCACAAAATCTTCTCCTAAGAACTGATCTTCATTGTAATGGAGGGCAGGCGAGATCGCAACACCATCTGCTACTTAGTTAGAGGCAAGTCCATAGTCCATTTCAATCGCAAATATTCCACCTGGCGCCTTGTCCAAGTCAAGTTTTTCTTCCAGACAAACGACACCGTAAGGAAAATCATACGATTGCAACGTTGCAACATCGCTGACAAAAATAATTCCTTCTCCTGCAGCTCCATAGATAGGCTTGATCACAACCTCCTTGCTTCCAATTAGTTCATACGCCTTGACAAGATCCGAGCACGAGCTGCAAGTATATCCCTTGGGTACGATGATAGTTGGATCCAGGGATTCGATGACAGAGGGGACATCAAGGGATTGAATGTGCCTGTGCAAGGCGCCTTTGTTTCCATAAGTGTTGATCCATTCAAGGTCCTCCCCGAAGATCTGCACTGGGAGATCGCTTAGTTTGTCAGCCCATCGCTGAAATTGGGTAGTGACACAGTAGGGAACAAGCGTCCATTCACAGTTAGATGAGGTTATAATCCCACGCAAAGTTTCGACCATACAGTCATCCGTGTCATCATCCATGTTGTAAATATTGCCGCTGGTGAAGATCGCTTGCCAGTCTTCATATCCGAACACTTCCTTGCAGAACTCCCAGAAATGCCTAGTCCTCTCGTGGGCACCAGGTAGGATAGCAATATCGAGACCAGGTCGGAGAAGAGTTAAAACTCTCGCCGGAAGGTTGTACCTCTGGCTCTCCTTCTTATATTCTGGACGAGGGCCATGAGTCCAGATCCTCCTTCTCTCGGCACCAAGAATTGAGTTTGATCGCTTGAGCTTGGGGACGTTTTCGGATACCACCTGCGCGACCACAGATGGATCAATGATCATGCTGTCTCCAGCTAGACACTCCGAGCAAACTGAAGCGAAGTATGCTTCTTCTATCGCAAGGGACTCGTCAGACTCGTCTACGGGCCCGAGCGGCACCGCAGGCTTCCTTGACAGCTTGGCTCGAGGAGGACCGCGCTGAGGGCTCACTTCGAAGTCGCTGACTGCTGGCTCGACAGCGATGGCGTGCCTTGTGCATCTTGGTGCACTGGTCGCAACGGGCATCGGAGGCATGAGAATCCCAGCTTCCTCGAAGTTTCCTCCCACAGAGCTGACGAGGGTCATTGCAAGCAGGTTGCAGAGAAACAAAGCCTTGAATGAGATTCTTTCTTCCCTTCTCAGACAAATAGATGACAACGCAAGCTCTCACAGAATACTCCAAGTTTGTTCAGCGCTCCGTTTCTTGCCTTGAACCTGATGCTCTCGTCAGATTCCAATCCAATCCAGCAAAATTTGTGAGGCGTCCAATGAAACGACAGGGAACCTTTTTCTTGCCTATCACTCACAGTTTGACACTCACAGCGTCTCTTGAAATTCCATCTTGCACGAAGATAATAGACACTATACGAATCTTGCTTCTATCTACATACAACCAGCAGCACAACACAGTGTGACTATCAGTGACAAAGAATTTGCGTTTCTCTGCTGTTTAGCGAAAAAAATCTTATCCAAACAACTCAAATCATACGTCAGAAAACATCGACATCAATGTTATTCGAAATTCCAATAGTTCTACAAGCAATCTTCTTGAATCGTACAGTTATCATCAGCAGAAGGCAACGAGAGGCATCGACAGGAGGAAAACAAGAACTGGATCGGAAACAAGACAGAGAGGTGCTGAGGTAAGGAAAGCAGAAGGGATCTGAAGTAACATCGAATCCAGATGCAATGAGGAGCGGAGCAAGACGCAAATTGTGCTCTAGCTTCAGTAGCAGCTGCGTGTCGTGGGGAGGGGAAGGAGGACTACATGCATTGTAAGGGGGAAGTACCCACCCTGTCAAATTAGCAAAAACTCAGGTCACTTCAGGGGTACTACTGATTTGGGTGGTAATGAACTGGGGGATCGGGTGAAAAAAATTCAGGGGTATCCACGGGTGGTACTAAATGTGGGTCGAAGGGTAGGGTGAAAGAGCAAATTCAAGGACCCAACTCTTGCCGATACCCCCCTGGTGAGTTTGATGTTACCCTACCCTCCTGTGACTCGCCATCCATTCACTAAATATGACCGGTAGGTGACTCCCCCTTTTCCACATCACCCCTCTCTTTTAGTGTAAGTACCCGGTTTCTTTGACATAGACCCTACCCTCAGTGCAACATTCCCCAAAAAGCTTTTTTTGGAACTCTTTGGAACCATTGCACTTGATGACCCCACCCCTTCGAAACGTCTGGTCCCTTGAGCCACTCGCCACCCTTCGAATTGGCCAAAAGTACCGGTGCTGTTCCATATGACCCATGATTCTTCTGAAAGTTTTGTCTAGTCCAAGGGGTACAGCGAACTTCAAGATCGGGGATACCCCACCTATCCGATCTGGCACCCCCGCTAGTTTGAGCCTCATCAGTGTTGGACCCCTCGTCCTTGCTTGTGCCAACAATGAATGGCGTGACTGGTTCTATGAGCCCCTGCACAACTGGTACCAATAGTTTAGTCTATTTTCATTTTTTGTACTGTTGTTCAAATTAAAATATGTTTTTGAAATCTCCGCCTCCTCTTCGCATGCCAACTTCAAATGTTTGTTCTCATCATGTTCGCGGTCGTATCTTCGATGTGCCCTCTGAAGGTCACCACCCCCACCTACCTCAAGATGCTCTCTGCCCACCCCTACCAGCACCGTAGTTACACAATCCCCCGATTGAAAAAGAACTCCAATCTACCACCACCTAGGCATCCTCCCTCTAGATTTCAGACATAGGACCGGTGTCTCATATTTTTTTTTGGCTTATTACCCCACTCCACCCCCTCCCCAGGCTTCCCCGGCGTTGTCCAAACGACGTGGTTTTGCTCTTCCCCCAGCCCCTGATAAGTTCTCGTTGGGGCCTCCAATAGATTCCTGTGTTTCCCTCGAATACACGAACTTTTATTTGAATTTCTCTGAAGTTCCTGAAGTTGCTTCGGACACCCACAGCCTAGATCTTCAGGGGGGCAGGAGAAGCTGTAGGCAAAGCTGGGGGGTACTTCAAGCAATAGGGTAGGGTGGGTATTTTACACGAGCTCAAGGGGGAATGTGAGCGCGAGAGTTGGTGGATAAATGTCAAGAAGGGGGTGGTACCATGAGACTATACGGGTAGTCAAAGTTTATTGGCCCGCAGGAGGACAATTCAGGGGTAGGTGGGTGAATTGAGAAGGGTGGTCAATGTGGCAGATGTAACCCGTCTAAAATCAACTTTGTTGTGCCCATGGGTTGGAGGAGGGATGGGGTGTACCGTATGACCCTAAACCGAAAGTGGGGGATGGACAGTGAGGGGGTGGGGGGGTGGTTGTGAAAGAAAACAAGAGGAGTGGGGGAATATTCAGGGGGTGGGGTGGAGGGGCCGCTCACATGTGAAGCTCGAGCGCCGTAACTTTCCGATCTCATAGGCTCCCGGCCAGTGACGCCCAGTGACGGTGCAGATGCCAGTGACAGGCTGACTCGTACCAGCGTAGACCGGCCGGGCCCGGAAGGCCGCGGCGGCGCAGCCTGTGAACTGATTTTTAACCGTTCAACTTTGAGTAAAGGTGCCAGACACGGTGAAGCTTGAAAATTAGCCTGTACTAGCGGCCCGCGGCTGCCGCGCCGGGAGTCCGAGGCTCAGTCATCGTAGTCAGTGACTGGAGACTCAGGCACCGGTACCGGCCGGCCGGCCGTACTATCATACTGTGCCGTGCCACCGAGCCGTGTTACTGGCCGCGCCGGGCGGCGGCGGCGCCCGCCGCGTCGGAGGCGCGGCACTGCGGCAGTGGGCCCCGGCCGGGCGCGGCGCCCTCACTGCCTCACCCACCGGCGGTCCGGGTCCGCCGCCGCGTGGAGTCCGATCAGCCGGACTCGAGGCTCCGACACTGATGAGTCAGTACTCGTACGGTCTTGGAGTATCTGTTCAAACTTTTGAGTGTCTTCACATGTCCCTATGTATATATCTGGGGCGGACTTGTTTCAGACTACGGAGGCTCCTTTTTAAAAAATATTATAATTCCCACAAACTCATCTGGCAAATTTGATGGTACCCCTACTCGAGTACCCCTACCCTTCAATTGTAGCTTAAAATGATGTAAAGTACCCCATGTTTTAGTGCACTTGATACCTGCTACCCCGCAGTCTGAGAACCACGAACCAGGCCACCCACCCCCCTCCCATCCATAGATCACTCGTTTGTACCCAACCAGCTCCACAATCCTGGTACCCCTACCACCCATCGAAGAACTACAAAACAACCCAGTACCACGAAAATGACTAGGTAGTACCCCCCTTATGAAGAACAAATTTAGTCCCTTTGAATAACCTACCCCAACCAAAATCTTCTCCCTTGTTGACCACCCCCCTTCCAACTACCCTCCCTCCCTCCCTCCCTCCCTCGCTCCCTCCCTCCCGTATCTTGTCTCTGCTCGCTTACCTCCCCCCACCCCTTCAGAGAGCTT